AATGAAAAAAACTGGCACTCAATTTTTATTTATTTACATATAGTTTACTTTCAAAATTTAAAGGATTTATAATTCAAAATAATGATAACGAATCTTGACTGCAGTTGCGCAAATAGTTCCACTCAGTTCGATATTTAATGAGACTTATGGTAAGTTATTCAGCAGCCTTTAACACACAAATACAGCTGCACAATATCGCCCCTATCGCGAAACGGAAATTATTCAGTTGTTCGATTCTATTAGCGGTACATCTCGAGAATGTTGCCTCAAGCTATCAAGTCATCTTCGATTTGATCAGGTTAACCAATAAAAACCACATACCCGTAGAGGAGTGGGGAATTGCATCTGTCCCGTTTGTGTTCTTGCATTATAACAGCTGAGATCTAATATCTCTCTCTCTCAGATAGGATGACAAAATTGTATTTTGATTAGATCTCAGCTGCTGAATAACTTACTCTTTATATTCTATACCGGGATAGCATGAAAAATCATGTGATATTGGATATAAATATCAATGAACTAAACCGAAACTTTTCATAAGGTCACGATTATTTTTATTGAAACTGTTGATTACTCTAATTATCTCGGAATAAAAGCACATGGTCAAAATATGAAACGAGAGTAAACCATGCAGGTAAAAAACCGATGTAAATTAGAGTCATTTTCCATCGATCCGGAACCTGTAGCACTTCACGTTTGCAGTGTGTATTCTGTTAAATGGCTATCTATAATTCGCATTTAACTCACAGTTACTTGTGAGTGGCGAAGTGGGATAATTGATAGTGATTGCTTGGAACTGACCAGTTCCTTTCACGTACAATCCTTAGCTCTTCCAGTCAACCATGCACTCGGAGAAGTACTAATCCCGAGTTTCGCTTTTGTTGGAGCTCGTCCGTAGTGAATATCCATCGTCCCGTCAGACTCAAGACCCATTGCATATAAGACGTGTATGTGTGTGCGTTACACCTGTGACGATCAGCTCATTCCTCATAATTGTTTTATATTTCCCGTTTCTGATACGCCGTGTTTGGTTGCTCACTTTTGAACAAACTTGTTATCACTTCACGCGGACAAAATTTTTCTTGCTACGAACAAGGTTTAGAACTGCGTTCAGAAAAGATTCCAACAGAGAAGTTTTGCGCGCACGACTCCCAAACAAACGTGCCAAAATGCGATAAAGCAACAGTCTTGAATGCTTATTCTGTTCACTCCTGTTTGTGAACTGAATGAATCAATGCATCAAACAACAACTTCGCCTCCATATCGGTTCCCATTCCATAGATATGTGCACATGAACACAACAGGCAGACTAATGATATTGTTGTTTTTATGGTTCTCTTTTATTCCCAGTCGGACAGTACGCATCACTGTGTTCTGTTTCAAAGAGATCACAGAATGAGCTCATTTGTTCAGTAGACAAATGATGGGTGCATCCCAGCTGTTGAACAGACTTTGTTCTTTGCACATTATTTCAGGCTGCCACTGTGGGACATGAGAGATCCTTTCAGAGTGCAATTCTATGGTCACAAGAGAGTGAGTAAGAAGGGTTCATTTCTTTCTGACTGGTCGAGTATTTTGAATAATTGTGATGATGACGATGATGATAATAATGATGATTTCTTTTTCTTTTTTCTTTCTTCTTTATTGAATGCACAAAGATACCATTTTCTGGGAGGAGGAAGCGGACAATCAAGCGGGGCTGTCATTCAACACACACACACGCAAAGAGGAAACTCAAGCGGTGGTGGTGTTGGTGTTGGTGTTGGGATTCGAACACACATTCCCCGGGGCGATAACTTGGTGACGTCACAACCAGGCCACCACCGCCCGGTAAAGATAATAATAATGATGATGATGATGATGATGATGATGATGATGATGATGATGATGATGATGATGANTGATGTTGATGATGATGATGATGATGATGATGATGATGTTGATGATGATGATGATGATGATGATGATGATGTTGATGATGATGATGATGATGATGATGATGATGTTGATGATGATGATGATGATGATGATGATGATGTTGATGATGATGATGATGATGATGATGATGATGTTGATGATGATGATGATGATGATGATGATGATGTTGATGATGATGATGATGATGATGATGATGATGTTGATGATGATGATGATGATGATGATGATGATGTTGATGATGATGATGATGATGATGATGATGATGTTGATGATGATGATGATGATGATGATGATGTTGATGATGATGATGATGATGATGATGATGATGATGATGATGAGTTGTGCGATTTATTGAGAAGAAAACACGTGTACCGGAATCAAATGGAATGATAAAATTTGATTTTCGATAGGATGTGTTCCAGTGAAGTGTTCTGTTCTTCAGTTCGAAAAATATTTTCCCTTTTGCCACAAGTAATCCTTGTAATATGAACTGCAGACGTATGAATTTTATTGTAATTCAGTCAGTTTTCTGGTCTATCTCTTAATCCCTCCAAATCTTTTGAATGACTCTACATTTTCACCTTCTTCATTCCCATCTCAATCGGTATTGATTGACTCTGATTGGCTGTGATGTGATAGCTCCAGAAAGCTCGCAAAGATGGATTGTGCTACATGCTATATTGGAGAAATCAAAACCGATCTGATCCGCTGTCCGGTAGTCAAGTGAATCGAATAATGTCGGTCCACCTGTAACATCCCGGGTTCCATTCCTATTTATGTTTATTCGGCTATTCGGAGGCGCACTGCTCTGGACTGGAAAAACTTGTGATCTATTTGTAAAAACGAAGTCTAGTAGTGCATGGAGTCTGGTTGAAAAATGTACCAAATCTAGTGTGGTGAGGAAAATTACATTATGTCTGTTAAAATGATCAATAAATACACTGAGTATCGTTTATTCGTGCTATGATGGAGGCAGAAAAAATATCAGAAAACCTATTGATGCTAATATTGTTTGGGTGCCAGGTAAATGTTTACAAGAGGTATGGGACGAAACCCACCCAAAAAACGGGGCTTGCATTCAGTGACGTGGCAACGGATTTTATTCGTTGAGTATTCATGGAGGACGCGGTCGATTTACTCCAGTTGTTGCTAATGTAACTTGCAACAACTCCACCTCGTTTACGGACACTTGTGGGACGGTCAACCCGATACAAGTTATATCCGTCCAGTTGGACAATTTCATTGGATATTTCATCGTGTAGCCACGATTGTTGTAAAATAATAATTCAAAGTCTTTTGTACGATCATTATGTAAGATTGTTTTACACTAGACGATATATAAGAGCATGACTAGGGGTATCCGAAAACAATTGTTCTCTCGCCGACTCATTTTCTCAATGTTATCATGATAATATTCAAACTTTTGAAATCGTTCAAGGATCCCGGTGTGATTAAGGAATTTAAGGCATTCCTGAAATTTTTCACTCGTCTTGCGTGAGTAAACACTCATGTGAACTTTTTATATAATTGTGTGATTAACATGGAATACCCCAGTCGTTCCTGGGAACAACTTTGCCCAGATCGCATCTATCCTCAAAACAGCGAAACTCTCAGGAGACATGTGTTGAGTATATCTGATTTATTGAAATTTAAAACTGCGAAATTTGAACGGAACACCTTACAACGACAGCATTTTATGGACGATTTAATATGAGAATGAACAATTGGAACTCGACAAATTCCTTAGTCAAATCTTCACGCGTCGCGTCCAGATCGTTCGAGAATGTTTATCACGGGATTCCCATAAGTTTACACAGTTGTCCATTTTTCCCAATAATCCAGAGAGAATCGTCCATAATTTATCTGTTAGGCAGCTATCTTCCACAGAAAGAGCAGGCCTTATCGCTAAGAAGAAGACAATTAACCGAATCGATTTGGAGATTCAATTCGAACGCCTGATGGATCAAACGAAGGATTTGATACCCCATTAAGACAAGGATTTGGAAAGGTTTAAAAATTTGCTAGTGACAAACTGCTATAAGTACCGAGAAGTTCACATACACAACCGCGGACCGCTTATGCGTCAGTAGCATATGAGCGCTTTGAGGGACTTCAAAAAGAACGAAGACATCATGCTGCTCAAACCAGAAAAAGGCACCGGGGTGATTATTATGAACAAAAATAATTATGTTCAAAAGCTTTCTATAAGCTTTCAATACATACAAAAAGTTCTCTAGATGCAACAAAGTAAAGGTGGAGGATGAAATCACAGATCTACTGAAGGTGCTAAAGTTACAAGGTCATATGGACAATGCCGCATTCGAGATAGTAAAACCATGTGGGTCCACCATCTCGCGATTGTATAATCTCCCTAAGATCCACAAAGAAGAGGGTTTCAATATGACCTATTATGGCAATGGTGAATTCACCATATCACACAACGGCACAGGGGTTGGTCGAATTACTAGAATCCGTCTGTCGTAGACGGACATGGTCTCCGAGACAGTTTCCAGAAGACCTTGATCTGCATGAAAAGGTGATAGTTTACCTGGATATCGTCTCACTTTTCACCAATGGACCCCTACTGGAGACGGTGGAATTCATCTGTGATCAAATAGAAACGCCGAATGTACACGTTGGTCTTCCGGTCACGCTGTAAACGTAACGTCCAGTCTCTATTCAACGGTACTATCTGTCACCAGATGGATGGGGTTGCCATGGAATCCCCTCTCGGTCCGTTGCTAGCTAACATCTTCGTGGCTAAGCTAAAAAGGAGTTTGCTGAGCCGAACTATCGAAGGATTATCACACTACAGTCGATATACGGATATTATCTTATGTGTGAAAGATCACAAAAATGATATCCCTCAGGGATGGAAATCGTTTTGTGAAGCGCATCCATCATTGGAACTCACTGTAGAGGTTGAAATGAACAACATCTCGGCCTTTCTGGGTGTAGTCGTGTCCGGGAAAGCAGATGAATCAGTGAGAAGACGGAACCACAGAAAGCAAACAAGGCGTGGTCAATATGCCAACTTCTATAGTTTTGCTCCTGCGTGTGAGTAGCGACACAGGGGAAAGTCACGGAGGCACAAGGAGGGTTAGTGACGAAAATCTTTGTGATGATGGCCGACAACGAGTACTAAACAACTGTTTCATCCTATTTGGGACGGTTCATCAATGCTCGCGTCTTTTGTCCCTGTCAAGACTTGAACCGCAAACTTTCGGGTTAGGATTCAATACCCTTAACCCTGGGTTAAGACGCAGTCATAAGCATATGTGAATGCATTAACCCCGTGGGAAGTTACCGATCTCTCCACAAGTTAAACCCACACCCAAGATTATCAATGGTGCCTGGTGTTGGTGCTGTTGCTGTCTGATCTGGAATGACAAATAAACGTCTGAGGTTTTCCGTATAAAAATGAATTGTGAGCTGAAACGCTGGACGCGGGTTTTGACCTGGTTGGGTCTCATCATCGGTGAGCGAATCCATCGATCCAACTGGCGATCGTGAATCCGGGACCTCATCACATGTCGAACTCAAGCACACTACTCACTCGATCATCGGTCAGCTGATCAGGTCGTTTATCATTTTGGAAAACATTCATACTTGAATACATGAAGACATCACATAACCAACTAAGACCCCGCTTTCCTCTCATAAAACAGATGAATGCAAAGGCGATAAGAAAGAGCATGATGAATTACTCGGGCGATACTTATACAGCACACGGTAGATAAATATGTAGGTGTAAATGTGGTAACAAACGGGCTGGCAAATTGTATCGAGGAAAATTGGTGATCGATAACCGGAGGGAATTATCGATCAATACATTGATTTCACCTAGAAAACACTGTATTCTTTGTGTGAAGCAGAACGCTGATGGATAGTTTAAATTTTTTTGAAAACACCTCACTGTTAGAAATAATGGAGAATGATTGTAGCTCGGGATGTGGATGCTGATTTTTGGTTTTTTTCGGAGAGTTGGTAGTGTTTTTCGCAGACGTTTCGCGAGTCAGGCTTGACCAAATCATCACTGCACTTTTTTGGTTCTCCCATCAGACCTGTACCGACAAATTGTCCCTTTCTGTTTGGTTATCAACAGTATTCCTAATTAACTTCTCTCCCGTTTTGGTTCGGATTTCACAAGGAGAACTTTCAATTTGATTGGATGGTTTGAGTAAACTGTAGTACGCATTTAA